TAACTCCGTTCTTGTTCCCCTTGCGCATGCCATCATCTCCATGCTTGTTCTTGCTACAATGTTCATCCTTCTCCAAGCTAGGCCCTTCATTTGTAAGCAAAACAAATGTATCCAATTTAGGCAGCATCATATTCTCATGAACATTAGAATCATTACCAAGAAACGAAAGTACCTGGTAATTTAGTTGGCGTGCGCGAGCTCTAGTAATTGGTCCAGTATGTATAGCAGTAGGGACTATGGATGTAACAATGGTATTGATGTCCTCATCAACCTGGGTAAACATCGTGTCCCCTGCCTCCTTGTTACGTACGATCCTTAGACGCACAGTTCGGGACCCCCTACCCGAGATCTACCGGTTTTGACACTGACAGGGGGCGCCCCCAGCCCTCCTGGTTACGTGAGATGGGGTGAGGGGGGGTGCTTAGCACATTAGTGGGCTGGTTTGCCCCCTCCCCTTGGCCTATGCCCCCCCAACACTTGCTGGGCCCCCCCGAAACCCCTTTCGGTGACGCTGGTCATCACCCGGTACCCCCGGAACAATTCCAGACTCTAATACCATTCGTCCAATATATCGATCTTCACCTCCGGACCATTCCAGAGTTCCTCGTCACATCCGGGATCTCATCTGGGACTCCAAACAACCTTCGGTAACCACCATAATGACTCAACTATACTTATATCATCACTAAACATTAAGTGTGTAAACACCACGGGTTCGAGAACTATGCAGACATGACTGAGACACCTCTACGGCCAATAACCAATAGCTGGACCAGGATACCCATATTGGTTCCCACATATTCTACGAAGATCTTATCGGTCGAACCTTGATGTCAAGGATTCAGCTAATCCCATATGTAGTTCCCTTTGTCTATCGGTATGTTACTTGCCCGAGATTCGATTGTCGGTATCTCCATACCTAGTTCAATCTCGTTACCGGCAAGTCTCTTCACCCGTTTCGTAATACAAGATCTCGTGGCTATCTCATTAGTCATATTGCTTGCAAGCTCATTGTGATACTGTATTACCTAGTGGGCCCTGAGATACCTCTCCGTCATACAGAGTGACAAATCCCAATCTTGATCAATGCCAACTCAAAGACACCCTCGGAGATACCTGTAGAGCACCTTTATAGTCACCCAGTTACATTGCGACGTTTGGTACACACAAGGTACTCCTCCGGTGTTAGTGAGTTACATGATCTCATGGTCATAGGAACATATACTTGACATGCAGAAAACGATAGCAATAAACTTGACACAATCATATACTGCGTTCATAGTTTGGGTCTTGTCCATCACATCATTCTCCTAATGATGTGATCCCGTCATCAAATGACAACTCATGTCTATGACTAGGAAACCATAACCATCTTTGATCAATGAGCTAGTCCGGTAGAGGCTCACTAGGGACATGTTGTCTATGTACCCACACATGTATTTGAGTTTCCAATCAATACAATTATAGCATAGATAATAAACGATTATCATGAACACGGAAATATAATAATAACCAATTTATTATTGCCTCTAGGGCATATTTCCAACATTAATGTTGAGGCTGCCCTTAAGAAAAAGAAGAAATTCCTCCTTATGGAGTTTGACATCTTGGATGTGTATCTAAATCTCAACAATTATCTGCTGCAGACTTTGATGGGATGAAAAGCATTAAGAAAGAGCTTGAGGATATTTGGAAAAGGGAGGAAATTTCCCACTGGCAAAGATCTATAGATAGAAAAAATTAGAAGGTGATTGTAATAATGCTTATTTCCATGCTCTTGTCAATCATAGTAAGGAAAACCACCTTTCTGAGTTGGTTGGTCCTTCAGGGGTTGTGACATCCACTGGTGATATGCTTGATGTTGCCACCTTCTTTTACAAAGATCTTTTTGCCTTTCAACCTAAACCTGACATCCATCTAGATGCTGGGTTTTGGTCTGAAGGAGAAATGGTTAATGAGGGTGAGAGAGATGTTAGAAAAATCCTTTTCTGAGGAGGAAATCAAACAATCTATTATGAGCTCCTATGCTTGTGGAGCTCGTGGCCCTAATGGTTTGTCCTTTTTGTTTTACCAAACCTTTTTGGGACCTAATCAAAATTTTTTATGTGGATGGTTACAATTTTTGAGAATGGGGTCCTAAACATTTACAAACTTAATTTTGCTATTATTACCCTCATTTCTAAAGTTCCTCATGCCAGAGATATGAAAAACTTTAGACCCTCAGTTTGAGTAATTGTGTTGCCAATTTTTTTTCAAAGCTATGACTACTAGGGTCTCCCCTTTTATGTGACAAACTGATTTCCTCCAAGCAAACTGCTTTTATTAAAGGGAGGTTTATTTTAGAAAGTGTGGTAATGGCCCATGAAGTTATTCATGAGCTTCACAGATCTGGCTCAAGTGGATTGATTCTTAAGCTTGATTATGAGAAAGCCTATGATAGAGTGATCTAGGGTTTTTTGAAGAAGATGCTTCTCTCTAGAGGCTTTGGTGAGAAATGGGTGGGTTGGATCTTTAGTACTCTACACCAGGGTATGTTCCAGGTTAGGATTAATGACACTAATGAACCCCCACTTTGCCGAGGAAAAGGCTTCAAATAAGGTAATTCTCATTCACCTTTGTATTTAATCTGGTTGCAGATGTTTTCTCTAAAATGTTATCCAAAGCTGTCAATCATGGTTTGATTTGTGAGCTCCTTCCTCATGCCATCCATGGGGAGGGCGTGTGCTTACAATATGCATATGATACCATTCTGTTCATTAAAGACTCCCTGGAATGTGCTAGGAATCTGAAATGATCCTGACTTGCTTTGAAAAACTTTCTGGTTTAGAAATCAACTTTCATAAAAGTGATCTGCACACCATACATGTTTCTGATGCCATGTCCAAAGAATTTGCGCAACTTTTCTGCTGCCAATTTGGTGAATTCCCTTTTAAATATCTTGGGCTTCCCCTACATTTCAAAAAGCTTAGAGGGAAGAACTCTAGCCAATAATTGATAGGATTATTAAGGGCCTGTTCGGCCGCTCTCCGCGGAGCGGAGCCGGCGAAGCGCCCTTTTAGCAGCTCTGCGTATTATACCTAGCAAGCCACTCCGCTCCGGCGCGGAGCCGCGGAGCGGAGGGAGTCCGAACGCGGCCTAAGAACATTGCTGGTTGATTGGGCAAGCATCCCTCCTATAGAGGCAAACTGATCCTTCTAACTACATGTATTGCTAGCATACCTACTTATCTCATGTCCATTATGAAATTTCCTAAATGGGCTATTGACATGATCTCCTCAAATGTCTCACTTCTTCTGGGGCAATGTTCGAGAGGTTCATAAATAGTACTTGGCTAATTGGGGCCTTGTGTCTAGGAAAAGGGAAATTGGTGGTTTGGGGGTTCCCAGTCATAGGGAGTTAAATATGGCTCTCCTTGCTTCTTGGGGTAAAGGTTTTATGATGACAGAGATAGTGATTGGAAAAACATAATCTACTTCAAATATACCACCAACAAACCTGATATTTTTTATGCCAAACCTACTCCGGGCTCCTTTTGGAAGAGTATTTCTTGGGGTTTTGCTGCTGCAAAAACTTTCTATAGGTGGACTCCTAGAAATGGAGAAAACATTGCCTTATGGCATGATAACTGGGTTGGGGATTGTTCCCTAAAAACTGCATTCTGGACTTGTTTGGCATTTGTCAGCAGCAAGAGGCTACTCTTGCTCAAGTTTGGGATGGAGAAAAAACCTGCACCTTACCTTTAGAAGATGTGTTGATGAGATTACTATGTCCAGATGGTTTGTCTTGTAAACTTGGTAAAACAAACTACACTGTCTACAGTGCAGATTGTCCTGTGTGGACTTTGGTAAATTCTGGCCAATACTCTGTTAAATATTTTTATAAAATGATCAATTTTGATGGGATCTCTTCTGAGATCAAAGATTTTATTTGGAAAATTAAAGCTCCCCCGAATATTCATGTTTTCTTATGGCTGATGTTTAATAAAAAAAGTTTAACAAGGGATAAGCTAGCCAAAAGAAGACATGTAGAAGATTTGTCTTGTGTCTTTTGTAGTGAACTAGAAACTATACAACGCCTTTTCTTTGACTGCATTGGTGCTAAGGAGATATGGGCTATTATTGTTGAATTCTTTATAACATTTATATACATGTTTCTTTCACATCCTTATCTTCCTTTTGGAAGAAAAAGAAACATTATGAAAACACTGCTACTTTTGCTACCTTGTGGAGCTTATGGCTTTTGCGCAATGACTTTGTATTTCAAGGGAGAAGATGGCGAAGTATACGTTGTGTTTTGGATCTGGTGGGGGCGACGATCAGGTAATGGAAAATCTTGTGTACCGAGGTCCAGGGTGCTCTTCTTCTCCCGTACTTAAGACTTTTGGATCGTCGAAGAGGGGAATTGCTTAGGATCGTCTGGAGTAACTAAATATTGGGACCGGAAGGGTGCTTTTTGTGTGTCAGATTGATCTATCTTCTATGCACCTTTCTTTGGTTCCCCCTTGATGAAAACTCTCTCCGAGAGAATGTAATAGGGTAGTTTATTTGAATCCTGTATGGTCGATCGGTGGCAGCTATTTTGGTTGTCGCCGAGCGCTACTTAACAGTCTGGTTTGCTTGTGGTTTGCCTTGGCTTTAATCAAGATTGGGATGGGAAAAACCCCTTTCATTTCAAAAAATAAAATAAAAAATCAATAACCATTAAGAAGTTTTAAAAAACAACTTGATTAAGAGCTTCGTGCATAAATCGTGCAAATGACGTCATGTGTGTAGCAACGTTCGACATGACAATCCAAGCGGGTACCTTTTTTTTTTCTTTTTGGGATTATCCAAGCGGGTACCTAGCCGGATCGGTCTCCGTTATCTTGGCCCCCTTCGTCGACTACCTATAATAAATCAGGAAGCTACCAAACCAGATCGGCCTTCCCCCTCCTGCGAGAAAGTATCAGATCCGCTTTGGCCTCCATCGAATCAAATTCCCAAATCCCTCCGCCGCACGCCATGGCTTCTTTTCCGCTGCTCTTTTTACCGCCGCCGGTTGTCGGCCACGAATCGGGCTTGTTCAACCCTCGCGTTGTCGTGGGCGGAGAAGCTCTGTCCACCGCGGCGGCCGCCTACACCACCACAAGCAACGACTGCCGAGTCCGCGTCTCCGTGCGGCTCGAACTCCCCCCCGCGGAGTCCTACCTGCACATGCAAACCGACGACACGCTCCTCAAAGATCCCTTGGTGCTGGCTGCCTGCGGCGACCTCCTCCTCGTCCACATGGTCGTCCACGACGCTGCCGATGATCTGTCGTGCAAGCAGAACCTCTTCGTATACAAGGCCCACCCCACTCGCCCGTCGCTCAGTCGTCTCCCCAATCCCGACACCTTCACCGGCTGGGCCCAATCTTGTGGCATCGTCCCCTGTGACGACGGGGGTTTCGTTGTGGCTTCTTTTCGGACAATCAAGACTGACTTAGATCTGCAAACAGGATTGGCGATGGAGCGTGTCGAGTTCTTGCACTATTCTCCTGCCACCGGACACTGGGATTTGAAGAGTCCAACAATGCCCTACGATGGCGAGGCCCTCAAGCCGTGCCTATGGGAGACAGATCAGGTATTCTCCTATCCAGATGGTACAATATACTGGGTGGATTACCACCGCGGCTTATTGTCCTGCAACGTGCTTTCTGCTGGTGAAAATCTAGAGCTCCGTTTCATCCAGCTTCCAGGGATAGAAATTTGGACTGAGCTCGATGATCTCTCTTATGGTCGTGTATACCCTGAGGCATATAGAACTGTTGGTGTATGCAAAGGTATTGTTAACTTTGTTGACATCGATAATGGCTTTTTTGGAAGCATGAAGAAATCTGGTTTCACAGTCACAGTTTGGACTTTGAAAATGCCGGAGTTGGAATGGCATCAGACAAGCATGTTCCAAGTCGATGATTTATGGGCTCTTGCAAACTTCCGAGAGTCTTCCCTTCCACGATGGGTGCCACAATTCCCTATTGTGAACACACATGATAATCATGGTTTATACTTCATATTGCAAGAGTGTGACAGTTTTGGTGAGGACTGGATCATCACAGTGGATATGCACAACAAAGTGTTGCAGTCATATGAGCGGCGCATTTACTCAATCTTGGAATGATTGTTAAGCTAGTGCTATCTTAATAGCATGAAGTTGTAAGATTGCAAGGAAGATTTTCTTTGAAACATCTTTGAGAATATTGTTGTCCTTGATGAAAAAATTATGTATTGTTATGTCGCCACACTCTTGGATAGTTTTTCATTAATTTGTTATCACAATAATAATGTTCAATGTTCTTTGCAGGGTATTTTTTTTCAGGGTAGTGCTATCTTGTATGATGCATTGTTATGTCGCCACTCTCTTGGAAACACCTTTCATGATCAATGTTCTTTGCAGGTTTTTTTTTCAAGTGTTATCATGTTAGAATTTTATCGGTGGGATCTTAAAGCTCCTTTTATTGAAACAAAAATTCAAAATAACATGGTATCAAACTAAATTAATTGGTTTGCCTACATTACAGATTTTGCTACGAGATGATACCTTGTGTTTAAACTTTATAAACCAGACTTTTCATATTCTTTTTGTTTTAGAAATTTTCCTTATCAAGGGTTCCGGAGTCTGAAAAGAAGCACCTCTAAGATACGTGTGTTCCTCGTAACTCTACTATGACACTCTAATGCCATCTTTTGTTCTCATAATCATGGTAGGCATCACCTCCTCTTATATACTCCCTCCGTTCCTACATATAAGTCTTTGTAGAGATTTCACTATGGACTACGTACGGAGCAAAATGGATGGATCTACATTCTAAAATGCATCTACATACATCCGTATGTGATTCATAGTGCAATCTCTCCAAAGACTTATATTTAGGAACGGAGGGAGTAGGTTGGATTGTTGTTACCTTTTTCTTGGGTACCCCTATTTACATCAATATTGTCTGATTGTCGCCAAGTTGGAACATCCTAGCCATAGTAATACACATATCTTCTCACAGTCTACTATATTGTCCATATCCTAGATATTTCTTATATGAACATTTTAGTTGTCACTCCAAAATATCTTGTGTCGTAGATATTTCTTATACGAGTATTTTAGTTGTTACTTTCTAGATTTTTCCCTAATTCCAATTCTAGAGTTCTCCAAAATATGTTTCTAGGAATATCCTTGATTTCTAAAGTCTTCCTCTCAAATATCATTCCCTCGTGAAACACTCAAGTAATTTTCCAGAAACATCTTAGTTCACTAGACATCTAGAATCTTCCAAGTATTTGTTTAACCCAAATGATAAGTGCCACGTGTGTGGCACGAAGCAATCCCGCCCTGATGTTTTTTACAACTACGTTGCCATCTGGAAGGGAAACGAACAAACCTAAAAAAAGAAAACAAACCCAAAAAGACTGAAACTTGTCATCCAAAAAAAAGTTGCGATGCTTGACAACTAAAGTTGACATCCTCGCGTCATGTGACGCCTGGATAATTAAGCTACAGTGATCCCTTGTTGATGATGCCACGCCACCACGATTATTGTTGTTAAACTCGCGTTGGTTCGAAACTGATTCAAATTTAAAACAAAGTCAAAATTTAGAGTTTTCAAATGTGAAAAAAAAATGTTCATAATGTTGGAAATAATCACATAGTATTTTTAAGAGAGAAATCAATATTTCAAAAAATAATTAAATTCCCTAAAACAATTAAAACAAGGGTCAAAACAATATTTTAATTGCTTTTTAAATTTATTAAATTTCCAATCTAATATAAATGACTGCCAAACTTTTGTGGCGGTATATAAAATTCCATCCCTAATTTTGGGCCAAGTCTCATTTTTACTAGAAGTCATTTGCTATTGTAAATAAATACAAAACAGGAGAGAACATGAAAACAGGTAAAGAAAAAGGATAACGGTGGAGGACTATTGTGTACTGGACTATTATTACAGCGGTGATTTAGGCCCAGCCCACTTTCCCACTTATCTCCCTGCGGGGGCAGAGGAGGGGATCGTGGCGGCCATCCCCTGGTTGTTTAAGGCCGAGCCCCCGCCCCCACTCGACCGAAACCCTAGCTTCTCCCCCTCCTAGCGCCTCTTCCCTCTCTCCCGCGAAGAACCGCATCGTGGTCGCCATGGACCTCGTCGATCCCGCGGCCACCGGCCTCCCTGTCGCCGGCTAGCATGTCCAGGAGCCTCCCTGTGGTCGTCTCCTTCGACTACAGAGAAGAACTCGTGCCAGAACGCCCCGCGGCCTTGCCATCGTCCTCATCTTCTCCCACGGTCGCCGACGTCCATTGCCGGTTGCCGCTGCTCCAGGCCACGCCGATCTCCCAACCTCGTCCACAAGCATCGGGGTGAGCCTCTCTGTCGATTCCCCCGCTTTGCCCCTTCGATCTGTGCCGTCTGCCGCCGCTCCCGTGCTCGTCTGTGGTCACCATGGCCGGAGCCCGAGCTCATATGTACGTGCTGCTGCTGCTTACTGCTGTGCACGCCTGCTGCCTTGGCTGCCCCCGCGCCTCGCCGTTGCCCCCGCTGCCTCCTGTACTGCTGCTCGCCACCTACGCTGGCCGCTCCCCTGCTGCTGCGATTGCCGCGCTGCTATTGCTGCTGCTGCGTTGCTGGCTGCGGTGCTGCTGCTACCTGGCTACTGCCGCTGTTCTTTGCCGCTGCGGCTACTCCCTATTACTGCAGCGCTGCTGCTCCTGGACATGGCCGTCGTGGCCTATGTGCAGTGCATGCTGCCCCTGGTTTGCCTAGCCAAACGCATGGCTTGAGCCACTACCAAACGGGCCGGCCATTAGACTAGGATTAGTCTTATTTAACTAACCTAAAACATGTATTAGTACTAACCTTTGATGCTACATAGAGTATGACTTATGGGCCCCACCACTAAGTAGATAAAATAAACAATCTGTTAAAAGAAATGACCCATGACACCTGGGCCCCATAGCCAGATTTGACCAGCCAATGTTGACTGTTGACCCTGCTGAGTCAGCACCGCACTGGCCCCACTGTCATATACATAGGCTAGGGTGACACCAGGTAACAAAAGTTTTTGCTGATTTATTTTCGAATTAATAGAATTCCATAAAGTTTAGAAAATGATTAAAACTATGGAAATTCATAGAAAAATAACCATAGCTTGGATGAAAATAATTTATACATGAAAGTTGCTCAGAAAAACGAAATGAATCCGGATATGCGGTCCGTTCGTCTGTCACACGTCCCTAGCATAGCGAACATGGAAGCTTCCCTCTCCGGTCTGCCTGTCCGAAAATGCAAACTTCGGGAAAACTTTCCCGGATGTTTTTCCCCCTTCACGTATGCCGCGCAGCATCGCGTTAGAACATCCCTAGCTCTGCTTATTGCTTTTCATGCATATGTCTGCTCTGTATTTACTGTTTCTTCCTCCTCTTCTCTCCGGTAGACCCCGAGGCCGATGCCGATGCCCCTGTGATCGACTACGTCACTAATGACTCTTCTTCTGTTTTCAGCAGAGCTTCCAGGCAAGCCCCCCTTGATCATTCTGATATCGCCCATTCCATTCTCTCATGCTTGCATTAGGTTTTGCTACTATAATTGATTGCTCCTGTTTTGATGCATAGCCTGCTTTTGTACCTGTAGTTGTACCTTACCTGCTTTTCCTAAACTGCTTAGTATAGGTTGGTTAGTGATCCATCAGTGCCCCCACCTTGTCCTTGTTGCCTCTCCTTCATTATCGATGACTCGATCAACGTGATCGATGACCAGAGCCCGACACCTAACATCACATCACGCCCCTTTTGTTGCTCGACCCTGCAGAGCTACTATCTAATGCCGAGGGTAATACCTCGTAACGCACTCCTGATGATGACTCTGTAGTGTAGCTATTCGGTCGTGGTCATCGAGGGTGATTCCTCTTTCACCACTCCCGATACGGCTCTGTCGTGCAACACCTCAAGTGTGAACCTCGAGGGTGATTCCTCCTAAGTTCAGCTTGACGATTACATCAAGTGGATTCCATCGAGGGTGGTTCATCGGATTCCCTCCTTGATGTTATGGACACACGGTTACCCTAACTTTACTTGAGACCATTGTTGAAGTCGGGTCGGCCCTGAGGGTACCCGCGAGTTGATGTGAAAGTCGGGTGGGCTCGGAGAGCACTCGCGAGATAATTACGTGGTACGCCCGGGCATTCTGGGCCCTTGCCGTAAGTCCACGAGATGGGGCGATGGGGTCACATCGATCGTGAATCTCTGCTCGTCTCCGCGAGATGCTAATACACTAAAGGTTTGGGTATTTATTCTAAGTTGGCCTCTGGGCTTTACGCACTAACCACCACGCGGAAATAGTTATGGGCCTCGGCGTCGCAGTATCAACCAAAGCTTTGTCACGTCCAGTTCAACATGGCGACACGGTCGGATTGCGTCGACCATCCGAGGTGGCACTGTTATTCACCCTGCGCGCAACGACCCGGAGTGCAACGGGCGATGGGCGCAAGACCGCAGAACGCTTAGGATGTAGACCGGCGGGGACCTCTTTGCTGAACCTAAGTAGGGCTGCGACGTGTTGATCTTCTGCGGCTGGGCATTAACTCAGAAAAGTGTGTCCGACCAGAGTAATCAAGCGTGTTGGGTAACATGGTGCACCCCTGCAGGGAATTTATCTATTCGAATACCGTGTCCACGGTAATAGACATTCAGACTTGTATCCTGATCTATTACAACTAGAACTGGTTACGTGAGACATGTGATGGATATGTTGGCTCCGAGATGACTTTCTCACATGGAGTCAAGGAAGGATCTCTGGGTGTTAATGTTACAACATGCTTGTTCAATATTAAAATGCGATTCTTTACTCTTCTACATGCTACAAGATGCTTGGAGCTGCTTGAAGATGCTAGTCTTTGATAGGCTAGGCTTTGCCCTCTCTTCTGGCATTCTGCAGTTCAATCCACAGATACAACCCTTTCATTTGATACCAATGCATACATAGTATAGATCTAATGCTTGCGAGTACTTTGGATGAGTACTCATGGTTGCTTTGCTACCCCTTTTCCCCCTTCTTCCTTCTTTCCGGTTGTTGCAACCAGATGGTGGATCTCTGGAGCCAGGTGCCACCGCCGACGGATACTACTACATAGAAGTCACTC